AGTTGGTGCTGTGGAGATCAGAAGAAGCCAGAGTGTATTTGCTGAAATCATAGCATGACGTTGTTTACAAAGAAAACTGCATCCTTTTTGTTTCTAACACTAATGTATTTCTTTCCGGGGAATGTAACCGGTATAAAGTATGAAATGTGATTATAATCCTCCAGGCCTGAGGGCTTACAGCCAGAGGCTCCCTGTGAACAAAACATGATTTGAGCAGTGGAGCTGCTCTGGGAATTCACTGTCTGTATTCTGGTCAGACAAACAATGTTTACTCCAGGGTCAAGCTCTGGAAACTGGTTTGTGGAGTTTGCGGCAGAGATGCAGCCCCAGTTGGCTGGCACCATGTGATGCCCTGAGTCCACTTCTCCCATGAGTGGTTCTGCCATTTTGGGAAAAAAACCCTAAAAAGCAAGGTAAGGAATGAATGTCTAGCTGATAAAACGTACGCATGACTCTTAAAAAAAATTAAAAGGAAAACAAGCCATCTGACTTCTGTCTTGATGCAACTTTGTACACAGTTCAAAAGGCAGATCACATCACACCCTTGTCATATCACATTCTCTTTTGTCTCTTATCTCCTGCTACAACTTTTTGCACTTTTTTTCCTCCTGAGACTTAGATGAAGGTTTGGATTTTTTTACTCCTGTAAATAATTTTAAGCCTGCAAAATTGCTAATAAACTTGGTGTGGGGTTAGGGCAGGGCGAGCCATGGCAGGCCAAATGGACCTTAATTTTACCCGATTATTTCTATCTTCTCTTTTTCCGTATGGAATGCAGGGCAGCTTACATTAGCTGTTCTCCAATGTATACCCACAAGAGCCCTCCAAGGGAGTTTTAGCTGACAGTCCATGACTGGCCCTGCCTCCCACTGAGCTTTCCGGCTGAGTGGGATCGAGAACCAACCCACCACTCCAACCATTATGCAACACTGCCACGCCTTGAGATGGCTATGTGAACTATCCTGTCTTACAGGCTGTCCATGCAGAAGGTCTCCGGTCTTTGGCATCTCCAGTTTACTCACAATCGAGTGGCAGGTGGCTGAGGATAGATGGATGAGGAGGTAGCTGGGGATGATGAGAGTTGTCATCCAATACATCTGGAGAGCACCTGGGTGGGAAAGGCTGTGGGTGACAATACTGGGTGAGGTGGACAGTCTGGGCTGGTGGAGGCACTTTCCATTCTTCTTAAGAAGCAAGCAAAAGACATCAGTCTGTTGTATAGCGATGTGCGTAGCTGCCACAGAAAGAAATGGTCAAAGGCCAGTGAGGAAGGTGCAACAAATGTTTCTCACTCAAACAAAATACTAAAATGGAGCAAGTACTGGCCACTGAAGGGGCTCCAGGCACACTGTGAAAAAGATGGTTCCGGTTTACATGAAGACAAGGAGAATGGGCATTATGGGGTGGTGGAACAACAAAGGGCACGTAACTATTACCTCTACAACAGTGTGACATTTCTTGACCACCACCAAGCACATTGTTGAGAAGTCTGAAATGACACACTCCTCAATGAAAGGACTTAAAGACATACATTCTTCAGGCTACACATCCTAGACACAATTCGTGGGAACAGATACTGCCACACGGAGCTCCGTCTGATCAACTTCTGAGTATCCTGGCTTAGAGTTGCCTTAGAAACCTTGGGTCTACTGTGATAACATAATTCAAAAGTTTGTGTTTGCCTGTAAACCTTACTTAGGGTTTGTGAAATGTCAGTTTTTGGAAGGCCACCTAATGCAAACTTGGTGTTCAGCAGCACCGAAACAACACCTTCTCGCATTATGTCCAGAGAGACCCCAGTGCCAGCACAGGAACAGGAGCTTCTGCCTCACCTGCACAGAACATACCTGTTATGGCCAAGGGCTGCTCCGTTTTCCTGTGCAAAGATTCTTTGATGCAGACCCAGCACCCACATTCCTCTGCCTGGTATAACCCAGAACTGGCCCCCACAGACTTTCCTTGCAAAAGTGCTTCCAGGCAGGATACTGAGATAACAGTTTACAGGCAATTCATATACATGTAATGTTCATGTAACATCCACATAATAGTTTGATGATTTTGCATACTTACGTGGCAGTGGAAAGGAAAGTGTTCGGTTGAAGAGCAGGGCTGATGCAGCTTAGTGTCTTTGTATAAAATGTGCATGTTAAAAGCAATGGTCTGGAGAACCACAGAGATGTCATTACACTGGATGCTGAACATCTGTTATTGTTAAAAGTTCTTATATGTGTTTAAATATGAATGTACCCACATGTAATTCATTAAAAAAATGAAAAACCAAAGGAAATGGAGTCCAATGAAATTCCTTGCACCCCCTGCTTGTGCACCCCCCAAAACTGGCTCTTCAGTATTGGAGAAGAATTTGTGGGGTATAGAGAGCTGTCTCATTTGGAAACTGTTCTGTTTGCACCAATAGGGAAAAAGATCCATGAAACACCTGGGGATTCTAGACTTTATTTTCTTTGTACCTGTCTTCTTTGCTGGACTAAAAGCTGGGCTGGATCCGGGCATAGTTGTGGAGTACAGCAGATCTGGCAAACCCTGCGACAGGACTTAGCTAACTCTGGATCCAACCCTTTGGCTACCAATTTCCCCTAGTAGATGTTTGTTTGCTTTCAGCACAATTTTATCAGGGGGGTATTTTGCAGAGAAATCCTTGTTTCAGCAAAGTGGAAATAGAATGTGTGTACAACTCCTACAAATTTTTTTTGGGGTGTGCCTTTGCTTCTTTTCTTTTTCAGGTCTTTTCAACTCCTTTTGGCCGCAGTCTGGCATGGTATAAACACTGGAGCCCACTGCAGTTAGTGGATTAAGGCTGCAATCCTACATGTACTTACCTGAGAGAAGTTCCCTTTGAACATAGTAGGACTTACTGAATAAACAGATGGGGACTGCAGCCAAGAAATTAAAAGACACTTGATCCTGGGGAGGAAAGCTATGGCAAATCTAGACAACATACTAAAAAGCAGAGACATCACCCTGCCAACAAAAGTGCATATAGTCCAGGCTATGGTTTTCCCAGTTGCAATGCATGGCTGTGAAAGTTGGACCATAAGAAAGGCTGAGCACCGAAGAACTGAGGCCTTTGAATTGTGGTGCTGGAGGAGACTCTTGCGAGTCCCCTGGACTGCAAGGCGATCAAACTGGTCAGTCCTAGAGGAGATCAACCCTGACTGCTCTTTAGAAGCCCAGATATTGAAGATGAAACTCAAATACTTTGGCCACCTAATGAGGACTCCCTGGAGAAGAGCCTCATGCTGGGAACAATAGATGGCAAAAGAAGAAGGGGATGGCCGAGAATGAGGCGGCTGGATGGAGTCACTGAAGCAGTTGGCGTGAGCTTAGGTGGACTCGGGGGATGGTGGAAGACAGGAAGGCCTGGAGGAATGTCCATGGGGTTGGGATGGGTCAGACATGACTTCGGGACTAACAACAACAAAGACATGCATAGGATTCCACATTAAAGTTGCCTAATTTAAATAAGCAATTCCCCTGTGGTGAATTGTGACCTTCGAATAATAAACCAAAAGGTGATCTCAGGTGCTGGTCAACAAGTGTCTCAAGCAGATGAGATAGAGGCGTTGTTAAAGCCTATTAAAATCTACCTCTAGGCATGGCTGGATTGTTTGCAGTGAAAACAGTGCATTGTTAATTGACGTATAAAGTACTGCTTTGACCATTTTATCGCCGCTGCTGATTTTTACGATAGTTTGTCATTATGATGGTTTAATTCTGGCGGTTTTCATTAGATGGCTTCGTTGCTTTTTGCTTTGTGTCTGTTGAGAGACGGTTCAGACATGGTTGGGAGGCACATTAGGAGTTACGGAGGGTGTGTAAGGCTTCAACGCAAGGGTGCGCTTGGCCACCCACATACGGCAGTGTCCAGTTCACCATCCTGGTTCCTGGTCACCGGATCCTGAAGGTCGTTGGAGCTATGAAGAGAGTGGGAATCCCTAATAAAAAGAATCTCAGTATCTGCAGGGTTCTCAGCGTGCCGACAAATCCAGTTTCAGAGTGGTTTCTAAGCAGTATGGGCCCACTGTCCCCACCTTAGAGGACACAGAATTAAGGAGCCATCCCTGTGTGGAAAGACAGGAGCAAAGGAATCTGGCTCAGTACAGTCAACACTGACTGATAGGCAGCGATGGCTCTGCCGGGGTTCAGGCAGGGTTCTTTTCTAGCAGTGCTGGCTCTGGGATGTGGAAGGCTCTTGGGCAAGCCAATTTCAGTGGGCCACTTCCTCAGTGAGCTCATCTTTTCTCCCCTATTGTCCGCATCCTCTCTCTCAGCCTCCTGGCTAGGCAGGCAGAGGGCCAGTGAATAGTTAGGCAGCGGTAACCCTTGCTGCTCCTTCCCACCATCTCCTTAGTCTGGTCCAAAGTGAGAGGCAAGGGAATAAGCAGGGTGCAGTGGCAAAAAGGGGGATCGAACCAGAAGGCCCCAGCCGGCGCATGAGCTCCTGGCTGGTGTCCAACCACTCCTGTCCTTGATGTTGGCCTCCCTAGCTCTGCCTGAAGGTGCCTCATCCTGGGATCTCAGTGGGATAACCCAGCACTCTAAGGTTCATGGATGACCAGCAAAAGCACATGCAGAAATGTCCTTGGTAGATGCATCTTCCAATGGAGGCACAGTTACCAAGCAACAGCGCATGATGCTTCTGTTTTGGCCAGAGTGCATGGCAAGGAGCACCTCTGGAGTGGAGCGTGCAAGCACGCGGCTCCTCGCTGCACCCTATTTCCCATTTGCACGCCACTCGGTGTCAATCCAGCACAGGGGATTAACAGTGGCAATCTTAGCTTGGATTAATATAATTAATATTGACCTAAATCTAAGTTATGCTGACACCAATACCACAGGCTTATCCAGGTAATATTTTATAAAGGCAGCAGTGCTAGCCCAGAATAGCAGAGGAAATACCTGCTCAGATATAAGAACGTGGCATATAGAGAAATACAGAAACATCTACTTCTTGGAAAGAGGATACCTAAGGAGCTGCCACCATGAATGGAACAGAAGGCCTGAATTTCTATGTCCCCATGTCCAACAAGACTGGTGTCGTCCGAAGCCCATTTGAGTACCCCCAGTACTATTTGGCTGAACCATGGAAATTCTCTGCACTGGCTGCTTACATGTTTCTTCTGATTCTTCTGGGATTTCCTATCAACTTCCTGACTCTCTTTGTCACAATCCAGCACAAGAAACTCAGAACACCACTAAACTACATCCTCTTAAATTTGGCCATAGCCAATCTCTTCATGGTCTTAGTAGGCTTCACCACCACCATGTACACATCCATGAATGGATATTTCGTTTTTGGGACGGTGGGATGCAACATCGAAGGCTTCTTTGCTACACTGGGTGGTAGGTGCTTTGATTCTCCCCTCCCTGATTAGCTGTTTATGTTCTCATTAATGCAGATTCCAGATCTTCACTGCAGAAGATCTTTCCTCCTTTGAATGCCACTACTTGGAAGTGCATCTGAAGAAAAACATCTTCAAGATGTTTTTGAGTATGCAAAAAATGATAAGCAGTTGGAGATACTAGTTACTTGTTCTGCAGCACACAAGAACTGGTATTGTTGTCTTGAGGCAGAATATTAATAGAATTGATTGGGAATTCTTGATTGATTGGGAATTTCCAGCTTTTAAGTAGGCTGGCAAAGGGTGAAAACCCAGCTCAACTTCAAAAGGTCAATGCAAAGATATTTTCATCTATGGATTTGTGCACCAACCCTTTCTATGGCTTGGGTGGAGAACATTTGTAGAGCTGCAGAATATGAGCTTTGCAAGCTCCTACACCTTGGTTGAAATGGAAAGGCTTTAACGAAGCCATCTTTTCTTCCACGTGTCAGTCAGAAATTGAATTAAATTGTCGTTAACAAAAAACAGATGAAAAATGTTTCTGGGCTTGAGTCACTTTCAATCTTCATCTTTCAATCATTTGGATGCTGTGATGTTATCTTTTTCACTTGATTCATCACTCCACTACAGTCCTCAGGGCAGAGAAGACCTAAATTTAAAACAAAATAAACCAGCAAAAAGCAAACAAATTCTACCAAATTGGTTCAGTCTCTTTACACTGCCTTTATCCATGATCAAGTAGGGCAAAAATCCAAGTTTTATTCCCTTCATTTGTTAAAGTTTTAAAGTGTTTCACTCTAGGCAAAGTCCATCCAGTGTTACTTCAGTCCAATCCCCATTCATCTTGTTGTGGTTGGTAGAGAAGCAAAACTTCTAAGAAGCATCTATTCCCAGGTTGTTTGGGCACAGGCAGACAGCAGAAAAAATAAACTTTTGGTCGAGACGACATGACTCAAGCACTTATCTCTCAAGTGTCCCCTACTGGGAGGGGTAATCTGCCCTCCAAGGACTGTGAGATGCAAGTAACAGAAGTGAGGGATGTTGTAGTTGCTTTTAAGAAAGGTTCAAAAAGAAATGTGGGATATGCTTCAACTTCAAGTTAAAACTAGATGTGAAGGCAGCAGAGCAGTGTGATTAAACAGGCTGGTTTTGATGGAATTTTGCTTATGTTTTGAGCTGCGTTCTTAGATTTTTAGTCATCACTGCAATGGTGTTTGGATTTCATTGGGAACCACCTTTGACACCCATAAAGGCAAGGTTTAGGATGTTTTAAGTAAAAAAAATAAATGAAATAATAAAATAATAAATTTAAATCTGCCCTATGGAACAACTGCTTAACCTCTACTCTGAGTGTACCCCCCTTTATTCTCTCCCTGATTATGGTTTTTCCTCCTTTGAATTCCACTACTTGGAAATGCATCTGAGAAGAGAAGAGAAGAAAGTGGGGAGACAGGCAGTGAAGGGAACACTGGGCAGGGTCTCATGACATGCTAGGTTAACTTGCAAATAAGCCACACAGTATGGATTCTTCACAGAACAACCTAGGGTGCATCTGACAGATGATCGGTCCACCACGGCTTGTTCCTGCCCTTCCCTCTCACATCTCCAGCCAGGATCCCAAGGTCCTTTGTGGCCTAACCCGTCTTGTCTCCCCTTCCCTGCTCCAATCACTACCCTTTCACCTTTGTTTTATTTTTTGTCTTTTTTTCCACACCCTCTAAAAAGTCCAGTTGAGGTGGGGATGCAGGTTTTCTAGCCCCTGAATATTGCACAGCGGTGTTTTAATTTTTTAAAAATATTAGTTTTGTCAGCCTTTTACAAATGTGCTGCTAAGGCTGTCCAGTGTATATAATCTTGTCTGGCCAATTTTCTTGTTTGTTTCAGCTATGGAGGGGAACAGGAAAGTGGAGAAGACAAGGCACATGGAAACTGACAAGGCAAGGCTGCACAGGACTGCTAATCTGTGCAGAGTTGCCAGGTCCAGTTGCTATGCTTTCCCCCCTTTACTGCTGAAAGGCACCTGTAAAAGGGAAAAAATGGCAAAAGAAAGCACACAAAACGCCCTCACTTTCTGTAGCTTCTTTCAGAGCACTTAGTGCCGCAGTTTTGTGAAAGACTGGTAATAATGATAACAATAATGATAATAAAAAAATTACAAACCCATTTGCACAGTTTTCTGAGCCCCACTCCCAAAAAAGGCAAACCAGTGGCAGTCTTGCCAAGGCCCCTCCACTTGGAAAGGCTACCACTGACGGTGGTAAGGCCAAGACCACAAAGAGCTGCAGGGAGCTCACTAGTCTTTCCAAGAGGCTCATTCACCAGTCTCTGCAACCCACAGTGCAACTGCTCCCCTGGGTTCAGGTGACACGACAACCTATCATGGTTCAAGCAACAGTAGAACAAGCCACGGGCTGTCTGGATGGCTTGTTGCCAAAACATCAATCGCCCTGCTGAAAGTGGTCTGGTTTTGTATGTGACAACCCAGCATAGCTCCTTACTCATAGTGGACTGTCATGTTGCGCAAAGCAGGTAATTAAAAAGCAGTACAGTAATGTGGTGCACAGAGAGATGGAGAAGTAAATGAATGTATGAAGAGGGTTCAGTTCCCTCAAAATTTACTCATTTGGTTTGACCTACTCACCCTGTCCTGACTTTTAAGAGAATTCTGAGCTTAATTATATGGATGTGTCATATATGCTTGCATTTCAGAAATGAGGAGAAGGCTCTGGCCAGGCCTGTAGTAAGACGTGAACAGATCACAGGTGCACATAGAGAAGCTTAATGATATGACCTGGTCAGTGAAAACATAAACCAATAAAAAGAAGAATCCTTTTAGTTGTTAAAGGAAGTGGTTTCCCCATCTCTCTTTCCTTGTGCTTTTCTCCCTACCTGTACACTTTTCTTTTGCCCTCTTCCAGGTGAGATAGCTCTGTGGTCTCTAGTAGTCCTGGCTATTGAAAGATATGTGGTGGTCTGCAAGCCCATGAGCAATTTCCGTTTCAGTGAGACCCATGCCATCATAGGGGTGAGTTTCACTTGGATCATGGCCTTGGCCTGCGCTGGTCCCCCTCTCCTTGGATGGTCAAGGTATGTATGCATCACACCCCTGGCATGACTAGACATTTTAATAAGTTTGTGGCAAATAAGACCAGAAAGACTGCTTAAAGTTCTGAGAGCACATCTTTTGTAAGGAAATCACAGGGGAACGGCCCACAAAGCCCATACAAATAGCTGAAAATACCTCTGGAAGGCAAAGGCATGCCTTCCCAGCCCCCTCCCACAATTAAGGATGATGTCATCTACATCTGTGAAAAGTAATAAAAGAAGTACTGCAGTTTTGAGACCACCTGAGGCAGAGTGAACTTTGAGCTTTGGAAGGTGGGAGGAAAGGGGGTATCTTGGGCTGCTGGATCTGCTTATTTGGGGACCTGATGTGTCGCAGCAAGTTTGCTGTTGCTGGAAAGTTCCGCTTTTTATATCTATCTATGTTCTTCATGTAAAGTTTGAAACAAACCCTAATAATACAAAAACACTTTAAGTTCCCAGTTATTTCTTCCTTCAAAGAAAACTAAACCCAAGCTAATCCTGGAAGATCCACCATAGTTGGGTGTGCATTAATAGTATTACATGTTCAGTATTGCAGTCTAATTTTGCAGACTACATTCTCAGACACTAACACAATTGATCTAATTGTAGGTACATCCCAGAAGGGATGCAGTGTTCATGTGGAGTTGATTATTATACACCAAACCCAGAGGTTCACAATGAGTCCTTTGTCATCTACATGTTTGTGGTGCACTTTGTCACACCACTGACTATTATTTTCTTCTGCTATGGACGTCTGGTTTGTACCGTTAAAGAGGTAGGTGGAACACAACCGTCCCGAGAACCCAGTTCAGGTGGAAATAGTTTATCCTCCGTTTGTTATTTTCAGCCCCATGCAAGGGCACTCAACTGTTAGGATAGTACAAGATGTTAAAGGAGGCACTCCCAAACTCTCTACTCACAAAATGGTAGCAGAGGGAGGCAGAAATGGGGACAATTTGACCAGCCTTCAATTGGTTTCTCCTTCTGCTGGGGTTTAGACTCACAGTTGCTTTTTCCCTCTGCAAGGACTGGGGACCTACTAAAATGGTCCACCTACAGAGACTAATGCCTCTAGATAACTTTTAGAGGGTTGATATGGTTGGAACACCTGTCAAAATCATGCTTGGTCCCAGACTGTGGCCATGAACCATGCAGTTGGCATGATTAATTCTGAGTGCGCTCTCTGCAGGAGAGCTCATAAGGCTTCATGGTGTGCCCTGGATCTGAGAACAGTGACACAAAATAGCAGATAGCTTGAATGCAGATGGGGGGCATCCTGGCGAATGTGGTCAAACATTGGTGCGCACCTATTGCCATGTGCATTTAGGGGCAGTGACGTTGGCGAGAAGCAACAGTTTGCTGCCTCTACTGAAGCCTGTTATGTGCAACTCAGGGCCCATGACTTGCCCTGAGGACACTGTGGATCCTCCTGAAGTCTGTTGTAATACACTTGAAAGATGGTGTAGCGCTGAGCTACCTGAAAGAGGCAGTGGTGAGACTACTTTGCAGAAATCTCTGTCCCCAGAAGAGCTTAATGGCTGGAGACCAGTAGCAAATGCTTCCTTCCTAGGCACGGTTCCTGAGCGGCTGGTGGCTAGCCAGCTCCAGATACTCTTGGATGAGACTAATTATATGGGTCCGTTTCAGTCAGGGTTCAGGCTGCATTTTGGCATGGAAACGGCCTTGATCACGCTGTAGGATGGCCTATGTTGGGAGTGAGATGGGGGAGAGTGGCCCCACTGACACTCCTGATCATGGCTTTCGATACCTTCAGCCCGGCATCCAAACAGCACTGCTGCCTGGTGTTTCACCACGTGCGTTTCTCATGCTTCCAGGCTGCAGCTCAGCAGCAGGAATCTGCCACCACCCAGAAAGCTGAGAAAGAAGTCACCCGCATGGTCATCATCATGGTAATTTCCTTCCTTGTTTGCTGGGTCCCCTATGCCAGCGTTGCTTTCCACATCTTCACCCACCAAGGATCTGACTTTGGCCCTGTCTTTATGACCATCCCAGCCTTCTTTGCCAAGAGTTCTGCTATCTACAATCCAGTGATTTACATCTTAATGAACAAACAGGTAACTTGACAATGTTGCCCTAGTTTTTCAACAATATAATACAGCTTTGAGTTTATGGCATTTTCCTTAAGTGCCTAAAGTGCTTCCTACACACATTATCTCAATCATTTGTATAATAAGCCCTGTAAGGTAGGCCAGTTAATTATCCACCCTATTAAATTCAGAGTGGGGGAGGCTGAGAGATAAGAGCTTCCCTAAGCAATTTCCTCGCTGAGTGGAGATCTGAACCAGTTCTCCCAGCTCATCCACTCCACGTATCTCCTCGCTTATCCACTCCACAGAGGGCTCAGATATAATGCCTCTTGATGGGTGGTTGCGGTGGTTAATAGGAAAAATCCCATATCACCTTTTTCATGCAGAGCAGTGTGGCAAGGGACCAGAAAAGATGTTCTGACAAGCCTTGGAGAATTATGCTTGCTCTCAGCTGATTGCCAAAATGCTGTCTCCCCTTTCATTTTATCAAAGCAGCAAGCTGTTAATGACTCTCACCATTTGTGAGCCATTCTCAAGCAACAGGGCTAAGCTCAAGCATTTTTCAGACCATGAATTATAGCATTATCAATTACTTCCCTGAGAGCTGGGCTGTGCCAAGGAATCAGCATATGGTCTCAGAGGATTTTCACTCGCTTTGAAATGCACTACAGCCCATGTGACCTGGATGGCTAGACAGGGACAAAATAAAGCAGTGCTGTTTACGAAGAATTACTCTGAAAGCAAAGTAATGGGGCCTGGGGAGCTCACATTCGGAAGGTGCATGTAGCTAAACAGGATGGGCTTTCCTAGAGGCCAGGGTGTGCTGTGGGCATTCTGAGGTAGCCCTTTAGCAGGTTCCTGATGATGCGCGTCTGATTTCATGTGCTGTTGTTTTTTGCATGCAGTTCCGCAATTGTATGATCACCACTCTCTGCTGTGGAAAGAATCCTTTGGCTGAAGAAGACACTTCAGTCGGCACTAAGACAGAGACTTCCACTGTCTCCACAAGCCAGGTTGCCCCTGCATAGATCCACCTCTGATCTCTCAAAGTTTCATTGGCATGACCACATTCTTCTCACCTCTGCCACCTTCGCCAGCTGTCATCTGCAACTCACCCAGAAGAATGAGCTCTTCCTTTTCTGACTGTGATTATCAGATCAACGAGGCTATAGGTCAGTTCAGAACCATGGCCAGGACAAATCTCATCTGTGGATGACTGTACTTTCTAGGGCTGTATGTGCTCTAGAGATCAGTTCAATTATGTGGTGTAGCAATTGCTTCTGTTGCCACATGATGATGATTACATCACATTTATAATCCACCTTTTTTCCTCTTGTGAGAAACCCAGGATGGCTTACACAAAGCTTTGTTTCAGCTTTCAGGTAGGTTGAGGATAGGTTGATCTGAGAGCACTTGAGTTCTTGTCTTCAGCAGTCTGATTTGTGAGGTTGTGTAGGTTGTCTGGAGTGAACAGACTGCTCCACTGTCCCTAAGGATTTATCACCACACCTCTCCCCAGTTTCTTTTTCCTGCACATTCACGGGCAACTGTTGGACCTGGGTTTGTTGCTGCCATTCCTCCTTTTATATTTTATGGTGACTTACTGTTACTTAATTGACAGATATAACTAAAGAAAACTGCATCACTGGAAACACACACTGCTCTGCACACATGGGAGTGGAGAAGGTTGACAGGGCATTCAGTACAGAAGCATCTGTAGCATGAAGTGGGGCGTTTATTTTTCTCCAATCAGTACACTTTTCAGAGCAATAAAACTCCGCCATACCACTTGGGCATCCATGATCATATATTGTCAGTGCAACACGTTGCAAGCAGGATTCATATTTCAGTTCAGACATATGCTGCTTTCTCCTTACATGATTTTATTTATTCTTCAAGGTGCTTCCTGATGAGGCTTTTACTTTTACTACAATATTTTACGGGGGTTCAGTTGTAGCTCTCCCAGGTTTTTCCACTGCTTCTTTGTTCTGACCCCAAAATAATATTTTGCTTAGGAGCCACAAGATCCACTGTTGGCTGGCTGGCTGGCTGGCTGCAAATCTTACATTTAATTCAATAATAAATAAATTACAACATGTGCTGTTTTGTTAAGAGGAAATACTTGCACAGGGCATTGGGTAGGCTTTTGGCCTGATGAGGGTATAGAGCAAGGGGACACCTATTGGGATGCTGGGACCTGAGATGGCCCAGGAGGCTGAAATGGGCAATGCACCCCAGGCGTACAGACTACCGTGAGCAGAATGCTGAAAGAAACAAAGGTAGAGTACAAAGGAGTTGTGAACCAGTCTGGGGCCAGTAAAAAGGAAGCATGCTTTTTACTGTGGGAAAGCATTATATTAGGCCTGTGGGTAAGAGGGGTTGAAAGCAGTCTGTAAGAAGTGAGATAGATATATAAACATACTTAGGGAGGAATGGCTAGAAGGAGAAAAACAGTAAGGATGGTATTGTGAAAGGAAACCTTCCTTTTATTCAAATAGCAAGCTAAGTATTTCAGTTTGTGGAGTGCCTGAGCCGCAGACGTCAGACTAGGCCCTTTCCCTTTTGTAATGGTTCCTTCTGGACTATTTTTAGGAAGCTATTCTGTTCTGTTATTCTAAGAGGAAAGTCTGAAGGTCCATATAACGGGCCATGTGGGTGAACAAGAGGAAACAGCTTCACTTTTGCAGCATAACTTTTTCTGGGCAGGGCTGGCTCGCTTGCCTCAGGCTGACGTGCCCACATCAGGCGTCAGAGCAGGAGGAACGGTGCACTGTGCCACGTCGCTCCCCCATGGCCCCTGCAACCTTCAGCGGGTGCTCCAGAGAGCCCTGCCGGCTGCTCTCCTCGTGATGGCAAGTGCCGGCCGAGGCCAGCAGGTGGCCACTGGGGCTGTCTCGAGCAGCCACCTGCCAGCCCATCCGCCGACCCGCTTGCCGCACAAGGCTGGGAAAAGGGGCTGCAGCGCGCTCAGGAGTGCCACGTGATCTCCTGCGAGGTTTGTGAGAGTCCCATGGCTGTCTCTTTTGGCTGGGTGGCTCTCCATAGAATGGACATGGCTGGGCCAAAGGGGACTCGGGTTGCGGGTGGGGTGGGGTTGCAGCACTGCGTTTCCTCTCTCACCTTAGGCCTTGTGTTGGTGCTATGAGTGGCGGATGAGCCTACAAGGACAGTCCTGGGCCGAGAAGGGCCACTAACCAGGAACCATTCTTCATTAAGCAGCACTTGCTTTGCCACCTCCCATTAAAGTTGTTCTGCTGTGGATTTCCTCTGTGAGTTGTAATAGCAGGTGCGGTTTTGGAAGAAGCCTCAAACATCCTTAGGCGTGCACATATACCTTAGGTACAGGTTGGGATTATGGAGATGCACCGCTAGTGGGACAGACATATGGATTTGATGATGGGCCTCTCAGAAGGATCCCCCTCGTTCATGCACTCATGAAGTGTGCTTACAGAACATGCCTGTTAGCGTAAGCCAATTGAGAACGGTTGGCTTTTGCTCACTTCTCTTCCCTTTGTGTTCCTTTTCCTCCTCCTCAAATACTAACAGTGCAAGCAAAGGCTTGCGTTAGAAGAACTTCAGACAGTGAGATTCATGATACCTTTCCTACCACGTGGCATGTTTCCATGGTAGCCTACACAGGTTGTCATGTGGCGCTATTTCTCTTGCTTGCCTCCCATTTTCCCACACAAGACCACACAGCTCCTGACCTTGAGTTTCTCACCATCCTTTGGCGGGCACCTTTCTTGTTTTCCGCTGTAATTCCATTTGGCAGCTGCCCAAATCGGAAGCTCTTGGCCAACACTCTCCCTTCTAAGGATTAATGGGCAGCGAGCTTTTCTTCACTCTGCAGCAAGCAAAGCAACTGAGCATATGGACCGGAGATTTTGACATATGTTTGTGGAGCGGCAAGATGGCATAGTGTAATTGTACTGAAGTATTTGGATTTTTATTTTTAGCTCGTTTTTTTGAAAAATCTCTCTCCCTGTTCGGAATGATCAATGTTGGAGACTATTTCTGTACTGTGCAATGATCCTCTCTGGATTTTAATCCTAGGCAGCTTTGCAGGGAGGGATAGGGAAGGTAATAGGAAACAAGGAAGTTAAATCTCCAATAAAGCACTATTGCACGGACAGCCCTTCTCATTAATTTTACTGACACTTCTACAAGTTAAGCTCTCTGTACTTAAGCTGGCACCTCATTACTTTTTTGCATGTAAGAGGAGTAATTTCTGGTAGAGCTGGCAACTTCAGTTTTGCCTGGATGTATTTTATCTTAAATGATTTCTTCATAAGAAAGTATATTATGAAACAGATGAATGGCAGGGGAATATACACCCATTTTTAGTTTGGGATTTAAGCTCTGACTGATACATTTTTATGAGTAGTCACCTAAAGCATTAATGGCCATTTTTGACAGCCTTACAGACTGTTCTTGATTGTGGGAGTCCATATTGTATAAAGCGGGAGCTGCCTTAGAACTCCTCACATAAGTTCCCCAAAGACAAAAACACATGTCAGAATCACCTGTGGGAGGACTTTCTTAAGGCAGTCCAAGGCCCAGACCTTCTGCAAGAAGCTTTTAAAAGCACAGCAGAAAAAATATCATGGCACTAGCAGTATGATTGCATTTTCTATGAATATCATGGAACAGCTAGCTGAGCTCACCCTGAGCCCTGATATATCAGAAATACAAAGGCCAGCCTTCTCACTGGAGCGGTAACTCACTAAGTTACCACTTTGGATATTTTATTTAAGACAGAAATTCCAGAGTTTGCCAAGTGGGCAGCTCAGCATTGACCTCAAATCATCCAAGGACAAAATATTTATTAGTCAAATGCAAATTTTGAGTTTTTCAAAGGCTTTTATCAGATAAGACGATAAACTTACCAAAGAAAGGAGTGAGGGATGTGCATGATGTTAAACCACAAGATGGTCTTAAGATGGAGAATGGGACGAAGCTCTGCCAGATACAGAAATGGTTTCATTTCTGTTTACATCTGAGACTTTTCCAAATGTTGCTGGGTGGAAGAAAGATTGGTTGATCCTTGAAAATATGAAACCCAAGAGCATTCTCAGAAAGAGAGAATTCTATTCCCATTTAGAGGTACATACAATGCAACATTTTGTATTGATTGCAGCCTTCCCCAATCTTGTGATTCCCAGGTGTGTTGGACTGCAGCTCCCATCATTCCCAGGAAACATGGCTATTGGCCCTCTTGGGAAAAGCCAATCTTTTCTGAAAAGTTGGCTTTCTTTGAATCTATATTCTCCAAGTCAACATTCAGCCTGCTATCTGGTGGCAGGTGCCAGTATATAAGCTAAGAATGGATTGAAGTGGATTGACTGTGGGAGGTACTGTGTTGGTTTTTGTATGCAGAGTCCAATGCCATTTATTTGCAGAGAGATTACAAACATAAAGATTCTAAAACTGAGTGGGGTGCAAAGGGTAACCTGTGGAAAACACCAGCATTTAGTACAGGTTGCCAAATAAACTTGATGGTATGAAGTTAAGATCAGGGAGACCAAATCTAACTTCTTTGATCAGAAGTTACAGCCTTTTCAGAAATATTGGTGGTGGAATGGACCCCCCCCCCCCATTAGTGTTACATTTTTGGAAATACTTGCTGGGTATAAATAGAGGAATCCTGTTTGAAGTTTTTTATGTGATGTTGTCAACTGTCCAGTTTCACTTCTGCGAATACTTTTTGCTCATTTTCCCAGAGCAGGGGAAATGTAGCACGTAATTGTGAAAGCCAAAGAAAGAACCTTTACCTCTTATGCATTTGGACTATTCCACTATAGCAAAGCCCCACCTAGAGTTTACATAGCAGAAAAACAGGCAAGGAAGTACTTCTTAGCTTGTGGTGCCATGATGAAGCTGAGAACAGATAAAGCAAAACATCCTCATATATTTAAGTTCTGTGTATGGTGCTGGGGAGAAGCAGACCCAGAATGTGGCCTTGAGTAACTGAGGGTGCTCCTCCTGCCCACTGTAGGAAAGTTTCAAATCCTTATTGGTTCTTAAGCTC